ATCGTTGTGGCGTTCTCTGTATTTCCTGGATTTGAATGTTGGCCTGCCCTACTAGGTTGGGGAAGTTCTCCTGGATGATATCCTGAGGAGTGTTTTCCAACTTGGTTCCATTTTCCCCCTCACTTTCAGGTACCCCAATCAGACGTAGATTTGGTCTTTTTACATAATCCCATACTTCTTGCAGGCTTTGTTCATTTCTTTTTCTTCTTTTTTCTTTTGGTTTCTCTTCTCGCTTCATTTCATTCATTTGATCCTCAATCGCTGATACTCTTTCTTCCAGTTGATCAAGTCGGTTACTGAACTTTGTGCATTTGTCACGTATTTCTCGTGTGATGGTTTTCATCTCTTTCATTTCGTTTATGACTTTCTCTGCATTAATTACTCTAGCCATCAATTCTTCCACTTTTTCTTCAAGATTTTTAGTTTCTTTGCGCTGGGTACGTAATTCCTCCTTTAGCTCTGAGAAGTTTGATGGACTGAAGCCTTCTTCTCTCATCTCATCAAAGTCATTCTCCGTCAAGCTTTGTTCTGTTGCTGGCGATGAGCTGCGCTCCTTTGCCGGGGGAGATGTGCTCTTATTTTTTGAATTTCCAGCTTTTCTGCCCTGCTTTTTCCCCATCTTTGTGGTTTTATCTGCCTCTGGTCTATAATGATGGTGACGTACTGATGGGGTTTTGGTGTAGGTGTCCTTCCTGTTTGATAGTTTTCCTTCTAACAGTCAGGACCCTCAGCTGTGGGTCTGTTGGAGATTGCTTGAGGTCCACTCCAGACCTTGTTTGCGTGGGTATCAGCAGCAGAGGCTGCAGAAGATAGAATATTGCTGAACAGTGAGTGTACCTGTCTGATTCTTGCTTTGGAAGCTTCCTCTCAGGGGTGTACTCCACCCTGTGAGGTGTGGGGTGTCAGACTGCCCCTAGTGGGGGTTGTCTCCCAGTTAGGCTACTCAGGGGTCAGGGACCCACTTGAGCAGGCAGTCTGTCCCTTTTCAGCTCTCAACCTCCGTGTTGGGAGATCCACTGCTCTCTTCAAAGCTGTCAGACATAGTCGTTTGCATCTGCAGAGGTTTCTGCTGCGTTTGTTATTGTTTACTGTGCCCTTTCCCCAGAGGTGGAGTCTATAGAGACAGGCAGGTTTCCTTGAGCTGCTGTGAGCTCCACCCAGTTCAAGCTTCCCAGCAGCTTTGTTTACCTACTTAAGCCTCAGCAATGGCGAGCGCCCCTCCCCCAGCCTCGCTGTTGCCTTGCCGGTAGATCACAGACTGCTGTGCTAGCAATGAGGGAGGCTCCGTGGGCGTAGGACCCTCCCGGCCAGGTGTGGGATATAATCTCCTGGTGTGCCTGTTAGCTTAAAGCGCAGTATTGGGGTGGGAGTTACCCGATTTTCCAGGTGTTGTGTGTCTCAGTTCCCCTGGCTAGGAAAAGGGATTCCCTTCCCCCTTGTGCTTCCCACGTGAGGCAATGCCTCGCCCTACTTCAGCTCTCACTGGTCGGGCTGCAGCAGCTGACCAGCATGGATTGTCCAGCATTCCCTAGTGAGATGAACCCAGTACCTCAGTTGAAAATGCAGAAATCACCAGTCTTCTGTGTTGCTCGGGCTGGGAGTTGGAGACTGGAGCTGTTCCTATTTGGCCATCTTGCTCCGCCCTCTCCTGCTTTTGCTTTAAAGTTTGTTTTGTCTGGTATAAGAATAGCTACCCTTGCTCACTTTTGAAGTCTATTTGCATGGAAAATCTTTTTCACCCCTTTGCCTTAACTTTATGTGAGTCTTTACGTGTTAGGTGAGTCTCCTGAAGAAAAGAGAAAGTTGTTTGGTGAATTTTTATTCATTCTGTCATTCTGTATCCTTTAAGTGTAGTATTTAGGTCACTTACATTCAATGTTAGTATTGATATGTGAGATAATATTACATTCATCATGCTTTTTTGTTGACTGAATACATAGTTGTTGTTGTTGTTGTTGCTGTTTTTCATTTTGTTATTGTTATATAGGTCCAGTGGGATTTTTGCTTTAAGGAGGTTCTATTTTGGTGTAATTCTAGTATTTGTTTCAAGATTTAGAGCTCCTTTAGCAGTTCTTATAGTGCTAGATTGGTAGTGGCAAATTACCTCAGCATTTGTTTGACTGGAAAAGACTATCTTTTCTTCATTTGTGAAGCTCAGTTTCACTGGATACAAAATTCTTGGTTGATAATTGTTTTGTTTAGGGGGGCCAAAAATAGGACTCTAATGCCTTCTAGGTTGTAGGATTTCTGCTGAGAAATCTCCTGTTAATCTGATAGGTTTTCCTATATAGGTTACCTGATGCTTTTACCTCACAATTTTAAGATTCTTTCCTTTGTCATGACTTTAGATAACCTTATGACTATTTGTCTAGTGATGGTCTTTTTGCAATGAATTCTCCAGGTGTTCTTTGAGCTTCTTGTATTTGGAGGTGTAGCTCTCTGGCAAGGCTGGGAAAGTTTTCCCCAATTATTCCCGCAATATGTTTTTCAAACTTTTAGATTTCTCTTTTTCCTTGGGAATACCAATTCTTCTTAGGTTTGGACATTTAACATAGTCCAAAATCTCTTGGACACTTTGTTCATTTTTTTAAATTATATTTTATTTGTCTTTGATGGATTGGATTAATTTGAAAGCCTTGCCTTTGAGCTCTGAAGTTGTTTCTTCTGCTTGTTTGCTGAGACTTTCCAATGCATTTTACATTTCTCTGAGCATGTCCTTCATTTCAAGAAGGCGTGGTCATTTTTTATTTATGCTATTTCACTGAAAAATGTTCCTTTAATATCCTGTATCATGTTTTTTATTGATTTAAGTTAAACTTTACCTTTCTCTGGTGCCTGCTGGTTAGCTTAATAATCAACTTCTCAATTCTTTTTCTGGGAATTTGGAGATTTCATCTTGGTTTGGATCCATTTCTGGTGAGCTGGTATGATCTTCTGGGGGTGTTAAATAGGCTTGCTTTGTCATTTTACAAGAATTGTCTTTCTGGTTTCTTCTCATTTGGATAGAATATGTCAGAGGGAAGATCTGGAATTCAAGGGCTGCTATTCAGATTCTTTTATCTTGTGGGGTGATCCCTTGATGTGGTGTTCTTCCCCCTCCCCTGGGAATGGGGCTTTCTGAGAGGCAAACTGTATTGATTGTTTTTGCTCTTCTGTGTCTAGCCACCCAGGAGAGCTACTGGGCTCTGGGTTGGTACTGAGGAATGGAATCCTGTGATGTGATCCATCTTCAGGTCTTGCAGCCATGGATACCAGCATTGCTCTGGTGGTAGTAGCAGGGAGTGAAGTGAAGTCTGTGAGGTAACAGGGAGTGAAGCGGAGTCTGTGGAGTTGTGTTTTTCTTTAGTGTGTTGGTTTTGTGTTTGTTGGCCTCCAGCCAGGAGGTGGCACTTTCAAGAGCACATCAGCTGTGGTCCTATGGGGAGGATGCAAACTTGCCCTAAGGACACCTGGTTTACTGTTCAATTTTCTCAGGCAGTGGGCAGGGCCACAGAGCTCCAAAGAGATTATGACTTTTCTCTTCTGCTACCAGGGCTGGTAGAGAAAGACCACCAGGCAGGGATAGGCATGTCAGAGCTCAGCCACTCCTTGGACAGGGCTTGCTGTGGCTGCTTTGGTGGATGGGGTGTGGTTCCCAGTCCAGTGAAATTATATTGCCAGGGGGATTATGACTGCCTCTGTGAATCATAAAAGTTACCAGGGAAGTGAGAGAAAGCTGGTAGTCACAGGCTTCACACTGCTCCCAGTCCTAAAGGACAGTCTCACTATCACCATACCCGGCAAACAGCAACGAGTCTATTTCCAGGCAGCCGGTGACCAAGGCTGAGAACTTGCCCCAGACTATGAGCCTTCACATTGAGAAAGCAAGCAGACTCATGGTTTTAGGGCCTCTCAGGGAACCTGTAGTGGTGATCCAGTTCCTTCCAAGGGTCTGTGAATTATCTCAGCTTTCCTGGTATGTTCCTATGGTAGTTCTTGGAGCAAAAGTTTGTGATATGAGTCTCCACACACTGCTCTGTCCAAGTGGCAGCTTCAAGCTAGTCCTGCCTCCTGTCTGCTGTCTTAATCCCATCCTCAATATACTTCCTAACACTGACTACAATCTATTGTTTTACCACAATAACATAGCATTGTATCTGTTTTCATTTGCATTTTTTCAAATACAGGTAAAATAGAAAATTTCTCAGGCCGGGGGCTGTGGCTCAAGTCTGTAATCCCAGCACTTTGGGAGGCCGAGACGGGCGGATCACGAGGTCAGGCGATCAAGACCATCCTGGCTAACATGGTGAAACCCCGTCTCTACTAAAAAATACAAAACAACTAGCCGGGCGAGGTGGCGGGCGCCTGTAGTCCCAGCTATTCGGGAGGCTGAGGCAGGGGAATGGCGCGAATCCGGGAGGCGGAGCTTGCAGTGAGCTGAGATCCCGCCACTGCACTCCAGCCTGGGCGACAGAGTGAGACTCCATCTCAAAAAAAAAAGGAAAAAAGAAAAAAAGAGAATTTCTCACTACTCTGTAAAGTGTTCCCAAGACCACCCTGTGTGGCTCTTATTCAGGAGTCATTAAGATGTGTTAGAAGGACTCAGAGAACTCAGAAAAGCTTTTAGACTCTCGATTATGGTTTCTTACAACAAAAGAATACAGATTTAAATCAGCAGAGTTGAAAGGTGTATAGGGCAGTGTCCAGGAGATACTAGGCCCAAGCTTCAGTTGTCTTCTTCTGGTGAAGTTGTGTGAACAGCATTGAATTCTTATAGCAGTGATATGTGTCAAGACATATGGAATCTCGCCTAACAGAGAAGCCCACCTGAGCTTTATTCTCCAGGATTTTTATTACAAACTGCCCACACAGGCATGGAGCAATCACGTGGTTGACTTTAATTATTCTGTCTCCAACCTCTCCAGAAGTCAAAACTGATGCATTATGACCTATAAGTTTCATTGTTAGCATAAATTATCTGCCATGGCCAAAGGAACTTAGGCATATGAATAGGGTCTTACCTGGAAGAATAGTCCAAAGACGTAGATTTTCTCCCAATAGCCAATGAGGACAGAGCTTTATTTTGAAATGTGTGGGATTTGAATATCCCAGACCTGTTGAGTTAACTCTTTCCTGAACAAGCCACCTCCCTGGTCCTGGACCTGACCAGATGACAAAACTTAATTTAGCTTTATCTTAATATTAAAACATTTTTCTATAATTTATTAAAATACTCCTTAACCTAGTATTTTTGTGCCATCTCCATCAACCAAAAAAATAGCACTGAAAATACATAAACATAAAAAGTTAAGTATTAAAACAGATAAAGATTATAGTTGGAAAATAATTGAACTTATAAATCTTATGTTTTTGCTTGCCTAAAAGCTGCCTATATTAATGAGCTTTGGGAATCTTTTGTGTTTGAAAAAAATGGCCCTCCAGTTGGCATGAATCGACTTTTTGATCTCCCCAACAAAGAAATGTGCCAGAGACAGCAGAACGCAAGCTGTGGACCAAAGCAGCTGTGGGTACTGGCAGCTAATGCAGTGGGGAGATTATGGAAATTCTGATCCAACAGTGTCCTTGCTCTGCCCAGCATGCACCTGGCGTATCCTAAAACCTGAGGAAATACCAGTGCCCAGACCCATTAAGATCACCCAGCAGCTGGGCAATCAGGCGAGTGATTTCCACCGGGGACCACAGGCTGGCCAGGTTTAGATGTCTATAGTCCGGGGTCTGTGCAAGAGCACTCCACTAAGGGGAAAAGATGAGAATGAATTCTAGCCTGTATCCCCTTTGCCAGATCTTAAGTTCTGGCATATGGGGTGCTATCTGTTTGGAGGAAGGTTCATCTCTTTTTGATCTTCACAAAGTTACTATGTGCTAATGATGGCACATCCCAGTAAATGTGGCATCTTCTTAGGCTTCTTCAAGTTAACTGGAAGAGAGTAAGATCATCTCCCTCTTCTTCATACCATCGCTGTTGAAGAGCCCAGAGGTTGAAACTAAACTATGCTTGTGAACTGGAAAGTAAACTAATGCTAAATTGATGCTAAAAGTAGTAGCAGAATTTTGATATTTGCCCTCAGTGAAATCATCATTCCATGCAATACTCTTGAATTTCTGCTAATGTCCTAATGCCGATGAGCACGTTAAGAAAGAGCCAAAAAATTATCAGGATTCTGATGAAATGTCACATTTACTGCCAAATTAACAAAGGTCTTAGAGTAAACATAAAGAAATCAGTTTGTGTTGAAAAAGGTTTGGAATCTAATCCAATATTCATGAATTTATTGGTGGAGTCCTGTCAATGTGGGCTAAAGTATTAACAATGTTCAAATGTAGCAAATCATTTTGTGTATCCCTTTTGTTATCTTTTAAAGTAGTCATTATATTGATATCAGATACTAATTTCTATAGATATGTACAACTTTGTGTTTATACTTATCCTTGCCCATGCACAATAATTATTTTTCCTTTTAGCAGCTTATTTCCACAAGGACTAAGTCTTCATTTCGTTTTGTTTTCTTCAAAGAAAATTAAACCACTTCTAAACTCGTGCTAGCAGGAATATTTTTAAAGCCGAATTCATATTGTAGGTATTTTAATTTTGGTGATCTTATGATATAAATTTATGATTTTGTGATGTAACGTAAAGCATTTTCTGCATTATTTTACATTTTGAAAGATTTCAATCTGCATCACAGATTTTGTTAAACTTTAAAATTCAATTTATCTATATTCTCATTTAATCATTATCAAGAAAATTTGTATAGTTCTGTAAGTAACTTATATCCTGCTTAAAATATTTGAAGTGATTTACAAGTTACAGGGAATGCCAAATAGAATAATTACAGTGAAAATATAGAAAAAAATACTACAATGTCCCAAGGACTGTGCTGAGTGTTTTCCATTTTCCGTAATCTTTAATTCTCATAATAATATTGTGCTTTGAACATTATTATCTCCATTTTACAAAGTGGAAACTAGGGCTCAAGGAATTTAAACGATGCATTTAGGATCATGTGTCCAGAATGTGCTAGAAACAAGGCCCACATGCAGTACTCTAACTCTAACGCCTACTCCCTGAGCCACTGCATTATGCTGCCTCAGAAACCCTTTACCCATAACATAGAATTCATATTTTCTTTTACTATAATTTGAAATTTTAAAGTACAATTAGTTTCCTGATTAATGTAAAAAAATTAGCATTTCTCAAATCCTAGTCCATAGGCCACCTACAACAAAATTATCTAAAATCATAGTCCATAAGTCACCCACAACAAAATTATCTGAAATTATCAAAAGTCGAGCTACTAGGGTTCTACCGGAGGTACTAAATATATTTCTCCATTTCTTGTGGGGGAGTGGAGTGAGGGAGAAAGAGTGTGGAGAGTAGGTATGTGACTTTTAAAAAGCTTTTCCAGATCACTTTTTTAGATGCCAAATTCTGAGACACACTGTTTGTAAATGATAGTCTAACAGAGAGCCCTGAAGAAATAATGCCACTGCCATGTATCTTTTCAATAAAATTCAGCAAGGACTACATGCAACAACAGTACTTCTAATTTAGTTAGGTTCTGTATTTCTATGTTGATATATTCCAATCCCATATCATCAGAAATTGTTAAAGGTTATCAACATTGTGACTTTGATTTTACTGTGTGCTATCTATTTCTTGCTAGTATGAGAGTAATATCTAATCTTCTTTTTCTTTTTACACTATTTCTTTTCTCTTAAAATGTTTTGTGAATAAATAGTTCCACTGAAATTATTCAAGTTAATTTATGCTACCACTGAAAATACTCACATTTATTTCTTATCTCTTTTCCTCAGAAGTAAATACTAGTCATGAATAATTCTGCATTTTAATTTTTTCATTTAGCCACTGACTCAATCTAAAATGGATTTTATATCATGTAGCCTTAAAAATCATCATTATTATTGAGATTATAGGCCTACTTAGAAAAGAATTAAGTGAACAGTAGTAAACCATAATAATATTTCATTATTGTTGCCAGAGTATTAGTACAAATAACTGAATATCACAGGGTAAAGTAACAAGTAATATTTTTAGCTATATGTTTTCAAACACACACACATACATACACATGTATGCACAGAAAGTCAAAATCAAAATATTGGTTACAGAATCCTGATCAGATTTGTGTTGCATCACTGACTATTGCAGAAACAGCCACTCAGCATCCAGCTTCAGAACTTTCCCTATAGAAAAGTAAGTATCATACCCCACCTGCTATTTTAATACCCATGGGGAAGCGCAGTCTAATCAGGCTTAGGCAGCTTTGGCCAAGTTATCCCATATGAGGGCATTACCTTAATTCATAATTCAGTGAAGGTGTATCTGTAGGGGGCAGAGATAACAGAATCCATTTACTCTGTTTTGTGATGATCCAATTTGATATAATGCTAAAATTTGGATCTAAGAAAATTAAAAGGCAGTGAATCCTTTTCCCTAGTCTCTCAAATATCAGATGCTTTAAGTAAACTGTTGATAAATGTCAGGTTACCTCAAATTCTGATTTAATTTTTCAAGTCTTTATGCTGTAGTATTTATATTTTTGAAACAATATGCATAGATATTAAGTAATAGTATAGATTATTATACTGAGATAACTTAGTAGTCAGTCTGTTTGAGACTAGGCATGCACAGAAAGTTGCATCTGAATGTTTATTAAACTTGGTGAGGTTATTGATAATGTAATAATAGAACCACAAACATAAATTCAAAAAGTTTAGCATTTCTGAATATTTATACTTGATTTCATAGCTTGATACACTGCTGTACATTTACTCTGATCTGAGTCCAAAGAAATATTATTATTTTCCACTTTAACCTTTAGATTTTACAACTACTTGTCATTAGCCCATAGAAACATTTCTTCCTGGAGAAAGCCTCCAAGGAGGAGAGAAACAACCTGAATAATATTAAGAAGTTCCATAACAAGAACTTAGCAAACTGGAGTTCAAAGACTTTACTATGGCTTCTCATATAACATAGAGTTCAAAGTAGCCATATATGGGATTTAGGAACATAATTTTTTAACTATGTTCCTCCTCCTTGAATCTTTCTTCCTCTAGTACAACATGGTTACATCCTCTCTCCTATACGATTTTTCCGTCTTTCGAACCTAGTACTGGGATGTCTTTGATCATCTCACTGTGATGTAGTATCACTTACCCTTTCTGTGCTGCAGTCTGTTTATTGGCTTTACTCTTCTTAGTATCTCTTGTCTTGTCCTCCAAATTCCATCTTTTTGTGTCTAAAGCAAATCTCACATTAATCTCCTTGTTCAAGGCAACTGCAGATTTTACAAAACCTAAAGTTCATGCAATTAGCAAAGAAATAGTAGATTATGCGGGGTAAATGTGGACTAGTCCTAATATGAGAAGGTCTACGACTCCTGTAGGTCATTATCAAACTGCCAGTTTTCAACAAAATAATCAATAATTGCCAAGTAAAAACACATTGAACCAAAAGTGTGGGTGAGAGGGAGGCAGATTAGAGGTCCCTGTCTTTAAAGTAATAAACGTTGGAGAGAATTAACTGATTGATGAACGATTAACATCTTTCATTCATTTAAATACTGATAAGTAAGAACTTGGTGAAGGGTGACAGAAAAAATATGGGCCTTGTAGACTGGTTATTTGCTTGTTTAAAACTTCAGCATATCCAAGAAAATCACGTTGACTTTATGAAAGTGAAAAAGTATCAGAAGATACTCTTCAGCTAAACAGTAGCAATTAAGACTTTCTTCACAGGATGTGAAACAAAAAGCATCATTAGTTTTGGATATAGTGTTTCTATTTTTGTGAGATTAATGATTAACCAGTTTATTTTCTTCTCTTAAAATTTATTTTGAAAATGAGCTAAAAATCCACCCAATTACTTTTGACTGTTGTGATATAAGAACAAATACACAGAGTTGTTTGATCTTCATTTCTAGTGAGCTGGGATCAAAATCACACCCAACCCTTTAGCAAACCATATTCTTTATTGGACAAATGAATAAACTTATATCATTGTTTGTGAATAAGGAAAGAAGATAATATGTTTTAATTTAATGGTAAGGGATATAGCATAGTATGTGTATATAATTGGAAGCTCAGTAAATAGCTTTTGAAACTG